GGTCACCACAGCCGCTCCACGTTAAGGAAAGAGTGCAGAGCACACCGCCGTGAGTCATCTGTGTAACCCTGAGCAAAAATGGTAAAGTGGGAGGTAGGGAGGCCGGGTCTGGGAACTGTAAGATAAGTTATGGTCTTCACTGGGGTCTGGGGGGGCTTTAGCTCTGCTGGGATGGGGTGAAGAGAGAAGGTCTGCCGGGCCGGTTCAGCCCAAGAAACGTCAGTGCCTCAGCTTAAAACACCTAGTGATAAAAGCAACCCTCAGAAGGGGCAGACCTCATTGGATAGAGTGCAGCCCTGGGGGAAGAGAGAGTTGGGCCGCTGCTCTGTCCTCCCCACTGAAAACCTACTGCTTGGGTCGGTCGGGGCTACTGGTGGGTTTTTGCCACACGCTCAAATAGGAAAGGGCAGTTGCAGTGCAGGTGTCTGCCTCGAGGCCATTTCACCAGCTCCCTCCCCTGCACTCCACATCAAAAATAAAATAATAATAAAGGCCAAAGCAATGTGAAAGACAGGCCGGATGCTTTTTGACCCACCCCAAACTCCCATCAGAGGTCGCATCTTCAGAGCATCCTGGGCACCAGGGCTCACTAAGGGATTTTTTCCATGAGCTGCCCTGCAGCCCTGCTGTTTCGTGCTTCCTCCCCTCTTCTTCCTCCGGGTAGCGGTAGCTGCAGTCATCCACCTCCTGGGCCAACTGTCCAAGCGGCACTAGTGGGGGGGGGGAGAGAGAAACAGGTGAGTGATTTGCGCACTTGCCTCGCAGTTCCTATTCTGTAGATAGAATCTGATTTCCATTCCCAGTTTGTGCCTTCTGTGCTGAAGCTCCCGTCCATCTAGCTCAGGGCTGGCTGTACTGACAAGCCGTGAGGGTCTCGGGCCCAGGCCATTTTGCAGCCCTAGCTGGAGGTGCTGCTAGGAATGGAGAATGGGACCTTCTGCAAGCCAAGCAGGTGCTCTGCCACAGAGCCACCACCTTTCTTCAAAAACAAAAACTCAACCCTGCTGCCGCCACCCCTGCCAGGGTCACTACTGTCCATGTGAAGCACCTCCCCACCCCTCCATTTGTCTTCCGGCACAAACGTGGGGCGGATGAGAGAATTTTTTTTGTTTGTTTAAAAAGAAATCCCTGCTAACCTCAAGAGATCAGCTTCAAAGCCACCTCAGCACTCTTCAAATCTAAAGCCAGCTTCCCAAATGCCCCAGAGTTAAATGGAGGCTTTGGCTAGACAAGAGGAAGGCCTTCACGGGCCACCATATTCCCAGCCTATGTGGTGGCAAGGCCGCAAGTGGAAAAGGGCTCCTTTCTACCAAAAAATGACAAATGTGTGCTGGTATCTGGCTTCACAGCTCGATGGGGACTGCGGCGATCACACAGGGTCCCTGGACGTTTGACGGTCTATTGATCCCTGTGCCACCACTGTGATTTCCTCCTCGCTGCCACCAACCCGTTTCTCTCGGCGGTACACACGGAGTCCAGACAGTTGTTGAACATTAACAAATAATCAAGTTATTTATAAGCATGAACAAGTTATGGTTTCAGTTAATTTTTCTTGGCAGTTCTTAATCTTAGTTTCTTTACTGACCTATACGTTCCTGACAACTTCAACTGATTATCCCAACTACTGTAATCTATTCTGACTCCACCTAACAGTTCCTCTTACTCTCGTCACATTAAAACTAGACCAACCCACACACTTATCCTCCCTCTTCCTTCTCCAACTCTCAACTGACTTCCAAACAACTCCAACTCTAACTCCTCCCCTTGGGTTTCCACTGGCCAATCACTTCACACTCATTTAACCCTTTCCTTATGACCCACCTAGGAGGGCAAACGCCACAGGGACCCCACAGCATTTAGAGAGTGATTGATGTGGCTTTTCTGACTCAAGCAGAGAGGCAGGCTGAAAGGCAGAAGTCGCCCACCTTTTTGGACCAGGGGGGCACGTTTTTGAAAGTGCGGGGGGCACACGTCATAAAACGGCTGCTGTAGGCGGTGTGACATAACACAAAGTGAGAGAGAGTACAGTCATGGTGAGGTTTCTCCCATAATTGTCTTTTCATACGGAATCGTTCTGCCTAGGAAATAAGACAGCGGCAGGGAAAATGAACGAAAGGGAAGAGGGAAACAGCAGCCCTTTAAGTTGCCGGAGATTCCTTTCCACTGGTGTCCAAGCAGCTCATTCAGTAACCACAGCTCTGACTACAGTCCTTGGCTAAAAACACGGACAGGCAGGGCCGTGTTGCTGTGTGGAGGCTGAAGTGAAACAGGGAAGGAGGTGACCTCTCAGGGCCGCAAGGCCAGAGGTGCCTTACAGGGTCAAAGCACAGCCCTCCAGTGGCCCTGAAGGAAGAAGTGACTGGGGACCAGGCCAGGCAGAGGCAGGCCTTGGGTGGTGGCTATTCTCAGCTAAAATTTAAAAATTCTCCGCCGAAGCACAGAAAGCAAGAAGCGGCAGCTGCCGGAGGTTGCAGCTGGACCTTCTGCCTGCACATCAGTTGCCCAACCGCTGAGAAGTGCTGATGTCTGCAGCCGACATGTATTGAGCAAAGTAATGTGATGAGTTTCCCCTCCCTATTTTGCACCGCATATCCTGCGATTTGGGCTAATTTTGCACAAGTCTGGTGTGGCAGTCGTGCGGAGGGAGAAGGGCTGCTCTGCAGAGCAACAAGGCCTCCCTAGCCCCCACTCCAGGCTCTGAAAGCCATTTTCAGACACCCTGTTTTGACTTCGGCGGATTCTGAAAAATAAGCCCACATCCTTCCAGATGTGTCTTGGTGGCCCCGAATATGCTAATCCTGTTTTTGTTTTTAGAAAGCAGAGGTTTTCAGGCAGATGAGCTCTGGGCTCACTACCACATTCCGTGCTCCTGTGGGGTTGGGGACATATCCCTTGGGTGACCGAGATGTGGTTGGGGTGGCTCAGCTCTTGGTTAGGAAGGAGAGAGAGAGATAGCTTCCGGTTCCACTCTGCCTTAATGGAGGCAGCCCCCACGACAGCGGGAATTTGTTGGCGAAGGAAAAACAAGGAGGGTAATTATCCTTGCAAAATTCCCCCAGGGACGGAGGAATGGGCTTCACTCACAATTCGTCTTGGTACCTGGCTCTCACTCCGGCATGGATTGCGGGAGGCAAGGAGACGCTGAGTGCAAAAGTACTTCGTCTGCTGAAAACCCATTAAGAAGCAGAGGTTCTCCCCTTAATTAGAGCTTAATTGGACTAAAGTACAGGCGTTGTACTAGCAAAGATGAAGATCACATAACTGCGAACATAAAACAACTACAAGGACTTTAAGGTTGAATTTGGAAAATAAAACTTCATTTGGTGCAAGAGACGGTGGGGGGGGAGGGGAGCCTATGGTTTCTTTACTTAAAATTTTATTCTCTACATTTATGCTTCAGCAACCATCCTCTGACTGTTAGTTTCAAGCTATATTTGTACATGCAAGGATGGAAAAAATTGGATTATAAATATTAGAATATAATATCAAACGGAACTGTGTGTGTAAAAAAAGGAAAAGGGAGGGAAGCTCTATAATTGCAAAAGGTTTACAATGGAAACTTAGAGCTGACTCTTCCCCATCCTTTATTATTTACGAACTGGAATTTAATATAATTGGAAGTATTACATTGCACATTATACAGTTGGAAGGAAGGATGAAAAGGAGTCTGTGAACTGCCCAAGGGACTGAGTAAGGTTCTTTACTGAGTCCATCTGCAGTTTGTACATACCGCTCTTCCTCCCAGGGCTGAGAGGGGAAATGGTGACAACAGGTAATATTGACTGGGACAGAGTGACTTTTGCAGCTGTTGTTAAAGTTGCAAAACAATGAAGCACGGGACAGAGAACAGAGAAATCTCTGAAACAACAATGGGCTATCAGCTCTGCCCAAGGCATGATGAGATAACAGCAACAACCAGGGGAAATAAAGACATGACATCTTACAAGGACAGGAAGAAACACCATGGACAAAATTAATTGCCACACACCAGCAAGAACAAGGATATAGTTTGAGTTCCTCACTTGTAGTTTTATAAATCATTTAATGTGTCCACACAAATAGAAGTTATTAATATTGCTGTTGTTGGTATAAGGGATTATTATTATGACCAGTACTGTACCGTATTTTTCGCTCTATAACACGCAGATTTTTTCTCCTAAAAAGGAAGGGGAAATGTCTGTGCGTGTTATAGAGCGAATGTGTGGTCCCTGGAGCCAAAAAATCAAGCAAAAGTCAAACCGCGAGTCACGGAGAAGGGAAACTTGAAAAGAGGAAGTGGCAGCTTTCCTGCATTCTGCCTCAGGGTCTTACTGGCCCCACCCTCCTCTGTTTCGTTGCTGTGATTGCTGAAACGGAACAAAGAGCAGGGAAAGCCCCTCCCCTCCAGGCAAGCAGAGTGTCGCTCTTTCTAATTCCTCTCTGTGCTCCGGTGCTGCTGGGGGAGAGGGAGAGAGAGTGGGGGAGGGAGAGGGAGAGTGGGGAGGGGAGAGGGAGAAAGAGGGGAGAGAGAGAGAGAGAGAGAGAGAGAGAGAGAGAGAGAGAGAGAGAGAGAGATGGATGGCTGGCTTGGGGGGGAACTTTTGCCTTTCTTTCCTCCCACTGGTTAAATCCCTCTCCAGCATTCTTAGCCAGCTGCTTCTCTGCCCTCTCATGTCCCTTCTTTGTTTTTCCTTCGCTCCCCACTTAAAATGTGGTTACAAAGCATTAGATCAACATGGATCCTCAGGATCTTTGCATTGGGTCACCCCAAATTCACCATCAGATCACATAGCATGTCCATGGCTACAGCCTGCACCAAAAAAATCACGCACCCACTGTTGCCTGGGGCTGCAATGGTGCAAAAACATGGTTAAAAGCATGGATCCACATGGATCCTCAGGATCTTTGCATTGGGTCACCCCAAATTCACCATCAGATCACATAGCATGTCCATGGCTACAGCCTGCACCAAAAAAGCACGCACCCACTGTTGCCTGGGGCTGCAATGGTGCAAAATGTGGTTACAAAGCATGGATCCACAGGGATTCTCAGGATCTTTGCATTGGGTCACCCCAAATTCACCATCAGATCACATAGCATGTCCATGGCTACAGCCTGCACCAAAAAAAGCACGCACCCACTGTTGCCTGGGGCTGCAATGGTGCAAAAATGTGGTTACAAAGCATGGATCCACAGGGATTCTCAGGATCTTTGCATTGGGTCACCCCAAATTCACCATCAGATCACATGTCTGTGGCCACAGCATGAAGCACAAAAATGATACATCCACTGTTTCATTCAGAATGTTTTTCCCTTGTTTTCCTCCTCTAAAAACGATGTGCGTGTTATGGTCAGGTGCGTGTTATAGAGCGAAAAATACGGTAATTGAAATTAATAAGATTATGGAATGCAGAAATAAAATCATCAAACCATCAAATCTAGCACAATTTGGTATTTGAACGATTGGTATTAATAATTGTATTATACATTGGTATTATTATAATGAACTATTGGGCTGTAATTGAAAACTGATAAATATTATTAATGAAAACAAAAAATTAAAAAAGAAAGCAAGAGAGAAACTCCAGGCATTTGAAATAAACATTTAAGTGTTGGAAATGTAAAGAAACAGAGGGGTACGTTTTATCATATGTGGTGGGAGTGTAGGAAGGTTAAAAAAAATTAAGAAATGATATATAATGAAATGGGGGGAAAAATGTTTAGAATAACCTTTATTTAAAAAGCAGAAGCCTTTCTATTAGGTATTGTAGGAGTAGAAATTTCAAAAGATCAGGAAAAAAAATGTTTATGTATACTACGATGGCCGCTTGAGTGATGTTAGGCCAAAGATGGAAAGAAGAAGCAGTTCCCACTAAAGAAGAGTGGCAAACCAAGTTAATGGACTATGCTGAAATGGCAAAACTAACTGGAAAGCTCAGAAATCAAGATGACAATAAATTTTAAAAAGAATTGGAAATGTTCATTATGTATTTGCAAAAGTATTGTAAACAGATACATACATTGGCAGGCTTTTAAGAATACTTGTAATTTTAGAAATAGTATAGGAAATCTGAGGTTAGAAAAAATTGGAGTAGTAATGATATGCATTTGATAAGAAATTTAGGGAACCAGGAATGGAGGGCAGGGGAGGGAAGTCAAGGGATTCGGAGAATCCCACTTTATGGAATTGATATGGTTTTAATGTATATTTTTCTTTGTTTGTGGATGTTATTGCATTTGTTACTGTTTGTTTTTTTATTTTTGTTGTTGTTACTTTTGTTGAAAACATAATAAAAATACTTTTTTTAAAAAATGAAATAATATTTATTCCAGGCCCAACATATTTCAGGAAAAAAAACGGCCCCAAGGAAAGCTTTTCTTCCTAGATGCATCAGGCCTAGACTAAAGCTTATTTCAAGTGTCATAGAACTGTAGAGGTGGAAGGGACCCCAAGGGCCATCTAGTCCAACCCTCTGCATTGCAGCTAAAGCATCCGACGGCTATCCAACCTCTGCTTAAAAACCTCCAAGGAAGGAGAGTCCACAACCTCCCAAGGAAGACCATTCCACTGTTCGGCTCTCCAGAGTATCTTTTTTTCCTCCTGGGAGCCCTGAGCTGCTAGGAGACCAGCTGAACCCGCAACCTGGGAGGTGAAAAAAACAACACAGGGCTTGTCTTTCTGAATCCTGAAAGAAAGAAAGTCCAGCCCTTTCACCAGCCAGGGTTTGCATGGCCAGAAAACCAAAAGGCTGCAGTGACCCAGGAATGCTGAATGGCTGCAATGGGGACCCCCACTCACCCTGGACAAAGCACCCCATTGGTGATGCTCCACGGCAAAGTGGTGTGTGATGGGGGAACAGAGAGCAGGTTCCTGGCAGAGGATCGCGCCTTGGTCTTACCTTTCAGGATCACAGCCGGGAACTTCTCTCGAGCCCAGGATCTGAAGATGATGCAAAAGAGCACCAGGAACAGCATGCACAGAAGCAAGGCTACTGCCAAGGCGATGCTGATGGGGACCAGATGGCTGTCCTGCTCTGAAAACAAGGAGAAGGCATCCCTCAGAAGTAGCCCCAAAACTAAGCCGAGCTCCTGTAGGAAGTCCTACAGGTGTGCTTGGGCTCAGGAGAACAAGGCTGAAAAGCCTTCCTTCACCACTGAATACTTGCCCCAGGACAAGTAGTACTAAACCTACATTTAGAACAAGTATTAGGAAGAAATATCCACGTTATCCGAGGCCTAAGGAGAAAACCAGGTACTCCAGCTCTGCATAGGGGAACAGGCCTGCTGCCAGGGAAGAGCTCTGGGATCTCTAGCACCGGGTGCCTGGCATTACCCGCCCAGTCCACCAGGTGCCCAGCAGTGGCACCACTTTGTCCAAGATGGAGGCACAAAGGAGTCCGAGACCTCCAACCCAGGATGTGGCTGTAACAAAATGCTCAGAGGCAAGCACACCTATCTACCAAGAAAATGTCACTCATTCCAGGAGAGGTGGAGATAACTAATTGTGTACCAAAACAATGGATGTCATTATTTCAAAGCGGGCAGCCTCTAGAAGGCTGTGAGGCTGGTGTTGTATTTTGCCTCGGAACGGATGGGTACCTGGCCCTCACTTGAACTCCTGAATGAAGCAAACATTTTTTTCTGTTCTTACAGCCCACAATGGAAACTCATCATCACCCTAAGCATGGAGTTTTGAACATTTCAGGTACTGTATTTTTCACTCTATAAGACGCACTTTTCCCCTCCTAAAAAGTAAGGGGAAATGTGTGTGCGTCTTATGGAGCGAATGCAGGCGGGAGGCTCTGCTCAGCACTCCCTTTAAAGAGCCGCGTGGAGCGTGTATGCGGCTCTTGGGGGCTTTTCCCCAAGGAGGGAGAAGGGCTGCCCTTCTCCCTCCTCGGGGAAAAGCCCCCAAGAGCCGCACACACGCTCCGCTCGCTCTTTAAAGGGAGTGCGGCTCTTGGGGGAGCCTTAGTTGTGCGCAGCTTCTCCCGGACAGGGGGTGAAGACTCCCCTTGCCCCCGGGAGAGGGTGCGCGTGGCTATCCCATAAGCCAGGACAGCCAGCGGGATCGCTGCACTGCGATCCCGCTGGCTGTCCTGGCTTCTGGGATTCAGAATTTTTTCCCCCTCTTCCGAAAACTATGTGTGTCTTATGGTCTGGTGCGTCTTATAGGGCAAAAAATACGGTATGTGTCGCTATGACCTCCAGGGTGAAAAGAGGTGGTCGTGCTGGGCATGTGAGAACGTCAACTGAGGGGGCTTCAGGGTGACCAAGGATAGCTGAGGACCAGTGTGCACTGTTTCTGGCCATGAGGACAGTGGCGGAGGAAGGGGGTGTGGGTGGTGCGGACCTCCCCAGGTGTCATCACTGGGGGGGTGTGACAAAATGAGTTTTTTAAAAAATTGGGCTCACAAAACTTTAGGAGTGATGTGGTGGCTTAAGCGCCTGCAGATTCTGTGCTGCCTAAAATGGCAGCGTGGGATTTGCCTCTGCCTACTGCCTCTCCCTCAGCTGCCCTACAGCGTCAGAGAGGCTTGCCCTGCCCCCATGGGTGGATCACCCCACCCCCGGCTGCAGGACATGCCCCCACACCAGGCACCCGAGCGACTAGCTATGCCGCTGCATGCAGAAAGGCACTCGAGAGCTGAAGAGAGGAGAGGAGAAGAATGAGAGGCAGGCGCAGCAGACAAAGAAGAGGTGTAGAAATAGGATGATTTACCAGTCTAGAAGCTAAACAAAAAGAAAACAAAAAAAATGTAATAATACGTCTTCCACCCAGTTAGGGTCCTTGAAGCAGCTCATAGTCAAACCCAGCAATTCAGAAACTAGAACAGCTGCCAAAAATAAATCCCCCCAAACCAAGCTGCAAAATGACTGTGCATCAACTGAGTGTTCTAGCAAATGTTATTCTCCTCCTCAAGAGAGAGAAGCCAGGTCTCCAATGTCGATCACAAGCATTTCCATCAGTGACTATTAGTGTGACACACAGTAGAGGGTGACTTGCCCTTATTTCCGTTTGCCACCCTCCTCTGCCTAGAGAGCAAAGCCCTCTGAGTGACGTCTGCCAAGCTGCTGGTCGTTCAGCACTTAGAGAGATGCAGCAAACCCTCACCTGTCTCCTTCGTTAAAACCGGCCAAGTCGGGGGTTTTGTAGGGCCTTCTGTTGTCGTGTTGCAAACCACATCAGTTTTCGCCGTCCCAGGAATTGAGATCTGATTAGCTGGACATCTGCAGGCAATCACAAAGTCCCATTAAAACACACACCAGCAACTATGATACTGAGAGAAAAAATGTTTTTTGCTGGGTTTTTTAAAGGACTTACTGTGTCCAGTTTTGGCATTTGCCAGATATCCAGGCCTTAAACTTCCCTTCAGGACACTCTTGGCAACCTTTGAGGAACAGGTGGGAGTTACTTAATGGACGTGAGACAACAAACCCAGCCCTGCCCTCTGGCCTGGTGGAACGGACTCCCAAACTCACCAAGCTTACAAGAGCTTGAAAACCTCTACCCCCTCTGCTGGCAAGGAAGGCATGTAACATTATTTCCCATATATTTTGATGCCTTGGAATTCTTCTCGGTTGGGGAAATGGTTTAGTTTGGCCCTATAAGATGTCGTTTCGTCTAAAACAGAAAGCACCTCTTTGCTGACTAATATTCAACAGGGTCACTAGATTCTCAGAGAACACTTGTAAGGTGTCACTGGAAAGTGAGGGGGCAGCATTGGGGGTGAGATGTTGTTGATGGAGGAGGTGGAGCCTCGGACACATTCCTTTCTCTTATTTCTGCGGCACCTTTTCTTCATGTTCCAAAGCCTCAAAGAAGGTGCCCAGAGATGGCAGGAAACAGCCCATAACCTGGGAACAGCCCAAGTTTATTTCCAGGCACCTCTCCCTTCTGTTCCCCATCCGCCCCTTTGCACCCTCCAAGTCAGCCTCCCCTTCTCCATCTTCTGTCAGCCAGACACCCTTCCCCACCCCATGCCTCTTTCCTCTATCTCTCCAAAGGGTCTTTCCCTCCCTCTAGCACCCCAGAAGCACAGCAACCAAAGAGGGACCTTCTCTGCCCACCTAACCTGTCTGTGACATGAGGGTCTCTCCGCCAACAGTGCCACATCATGCACACACCTCCAGTCTTTGACGCATTCCTACCCATCCTAAGCCCTCACCTGCTCCGTTCCACTCCTCTCCAATACCACAGATGCAGCTGCCGCACTCTAGATCTCCACATTCATATTCAGGGGCACATTTGCAGACAGCATCGGAGTCTTCTGAGCAGCGTCGCTCATACTGATATTTGTCTAAAGAGTTAATGCATTTTTAGAGGTCCACATTATACCAGAAGAGGAGGGCATTGGCTCCATCAAGCAGCTGTGGCCACACGAAGTGGCAACTGAGTCAAAGGAGGAGTTCTGGAGGCAAGCAGGTGGGCTCTGCATGACAAAGTGTTTGGGAGAGAGCCTTTCTGGCCTCCACTAACTAGTACCCTTGGTTACTAGTTAATTTGACAAGTGGGAGGGGCCATCCACCTGTCAATCACCTGGCATCACAATGATGTCAGGGGCAAGGCGCTTTGAACGATAAGAATATGAAAGTGTCAAATGCGGGCCGCGGGAAACCTCTTTAATTAAATTGAATTCATTGGCATTTGTATAATTGGGTTAATATTGGGAAACTAATAAATTTATTTGTCAAAGCACCCTGCAACATGGGCATAGCTGGGGTGGGGGGCAGCTGCAGCTCCTAAATCAAGTAAATAAATATAAATACTTAACTAACTGACCAATTGCATCAGAGATATTTCGGTTCTGCCCCCCCCCCCAACCTAATGCCTACCCCCCCCCAAATAAATCCTGGCTGTGCCCATGCCCTGTAAGGTGCTGCTAAAATGAAGGGCTTTTCCCTCTGCTTGAGCAGGGCTTTTGTTGCAATTGCCTTCCTAAGGGTTTGCATTAGAAGCCCCGCTAAATCGGTGGAGGGCTTCGGTATGGCTCTGAAAAGCAGCTGCTGGGCATCGCAGATGGAGAAAGTGTGCTCAGGTTCTCATTGTGAGGACATCCCTTTGGAACATCTGGCCACTGTAAAAACAGGATACAGGGCTAGATGTGCCACTGGCGATGTGATACAGCTCTTCCCATGTTTGCATGGCCTTGAGGATGCAGGAAAGTGCTTACGGTCTACCCTGCTCTCAAGCAAATTTGCATTGCACCTCTCCTGTGCATGCCCAGCTCTTGTGGACTCCCCACCCCTCATTGTCCACTCCTGTCTCCGCCCACCTTGCACCCTGGTTCCCCACCCCAAGCAACTAAACCTCTTAAGATCTGGGTTGTGCCAATATTTCATCATGCAGAAGAGGCAAGTCCAGATACCCTTTTCCCAGGTGGCAGCATTATTCCACTTTCTAAAGGAAATTGGTCCAGATCATCCCTGCTCAGAGCCTGGGATGTCTCCTCATGAGCCATTCCGGGGTTGTCCTGAGCATCAGCTGGCAGGCTCTCTCCCTCCCCTCCCCACCACCACCTCCCCTCGGGATTTCTCACGCCCTGTTTGCAAGTTGAAGCCCCCTTCGGAAGCAGCAGGCGCCAGCTGGGAGTGGGGATCGCGAACGGGAGGAGACACCTACCTTGGCACGGGGTGCAGGGGCTGCAAGTCTGGCGCTGGGCGTCCCGGTAGGTGCCTGGAGGAGAAGGGCAAAGGGGCGTCGTCAGAGGAGCGGGCTAAGGGGCCAGCCGGGCTCCGGCCAAGTCTCCCTACGGGTCCGCCTGCCGGGGCAGCCCCCTTACCTTTTTCGCAGCCCGCCTTGGCGGCGGCGAGGCATCTCCAAAGGAGGAAGGCGAGGAGCAGGAGCGGCGTCGGAGCGGAGCGCCCCATCAGAGCGCGCAAGAGGCGAGTACGGACTACTCTCGCTTCCTCGCGGCGGCGCCAAGCCTTTTGTGCGTCGGAGCGGGGCGCCAGCGACACGTGGGGGGCCCCGGGGCGGTTCCAGGGCCGGGAATCCCCACCGAAGGCGGGGGCAGCCCCTCGAGAGCGCCAGGGAGAGAGGCTCTAGACTTGGGACCCTCTCAAAGGCGAGATGGGGGCGCGCACCCTTCCACTCCTGCGCGCAAAAGGCTTCCAGCTGGCCTTGGAGGGGACCAGCAGGCTTCACTCTCCTGCCCGCGGCTGCCGCCTGTTAGTGGGGTGCGGGGGGGGGGGGGGAGGTTAGACTCCTTTCTTTGCAGGGCCAGGGAGGTTAGACGACGTTGCTTCCAGCAAGGGCATCGTCCCTTCCAAGCACCTGTCCGGTTGCATTTTCCGCTCACTTGCCACCTTCTCGCCAAACCTCACATGGGGGCGATGGGTGGGGGGGGGAGTGGGGCTTTGCACCGGAGCTCCAAATGCGCACTTTTTGCCTGCACGTGATCGGATCCCACTCGAAAACGGGGGGGGGGCACTGCTTCGGAGCAGCACAACACACACCGGGAGGGAGAGGGCACACACAGCACAACGCAGATAAGGGTTCAAAGCCAATCCAGGGAGGAGCATCCCCTTTGGGCTAAGGAGTGGAAAAGAGGGGGCAGGACAGCCAGCAACGGGGGGCGGGTTCTGAGGACTTGGGCAATGGAGTCATTTGGGGGCACTTACAGGTAAGAAGTAAGCGTTGGTGGTATAATGGTGAGCATAGCTGCCTTATAAGCAGTTGATCTGGATTCGATTGCCGGCCAACGCAGAGTGTCTTTTCTCCTGCCAACCTAGCAGTTCGAAAGCACGTCAAAGTGCAAGTAGATAAATAGGTACCGCTCCAGCGGGAAGGTAAATGGCGTTTCCATGTGCTGCTCTGGTTCGCCAGAAGTGGCTTAGTCATGCTGACCGCATGACCTGGAAGCTGTACACCGGCTCCCTCAGCTAATATAGCGAGATGAGCGCCGCAACCCCAGAGTCGGTCACGACTGGACCTAATGGTCAGGGGTCCCTTTACCTTTACCTTGGAAGTCAAATGCCTTGTGAGAAGAACATTTTGGCTCCCAAACGCCGCACACCTGGAAGTGATTGTTCCGGTTTGCGAACCTTCTTTGGAACCCAAATGTCCGTTGCGGCTTCTGATTGGCTCCAGGAGCTTCCTGCATCCAATCGGAAGCTGCGCCTTGGTTCCTGAACCTTTCGGAAGTCGAATGGACTTCCAGAACGGATTCCATTCGACTTCCGAGGTACGACTGTATCTGGGTAATGCCTTTTGCACGTCATCGAAAATCCTGGGAGGTGGAATGATAGACTATGCAGAATTGGATAGAATGACAGGAAGGATCCGAAACCAACACGATCAAAGATTCACAGAAGATTGGGAAAAAATTATTGAATATTTGCAAAAAATAAGTGATAATCAGATTACGTTTGTAAGTTTTAATGAAGCATTGTGATGGGAAATAAGCATTAAAGGGGCATGAAGTTTTACAGTAATAATATAAACAATAAAATAGAAATGTGTTTAAAGTTAAAATATGAAGGATTTGCAGACAAGTTGAGGGAAGTCGAAAAATGAGAAATAAGATGTAACTAAGCGGGTGGTGCTGTGGGTAAAACCTCAGCGCCTAGGACTTGCCGATCGTATGTCGGCGGTTCGAATCCCCGCGGCGGGGTGAGCTCCCCGTCGTCGGTCCCAGCTCCTGCCCACCTAGCAGTTCGAAAGCACCCCCGGGTGCAAGTAGATAAATAGGGACCGCTTTTTAGCGGGAAGGTAAACGGCGTTTCCGTGTGCTGCTCTGGTTCGCCAGAGCAGCTTCGTCACGCTGGCCACGTGACCCGGAAGTGTGTGCAGACAGCGCTGGCTCCCGGCCTCTAGAGTGAGATGAGCGCACAACCCTAGAGTCTGTCAAGACTGGCCCGTACGGGCAGGGGTACCTTTACCTTTACCTTTTAAGATGTATGGAGTGTATAATTTTGTTTTGTATTTGAAAATTAATATTATATATATATATATATATATATATGTATATGTATATGTATGAGAGAAAATCCTGGGACATGGGGAAGAAATTTCTGACAGTATGAGCTGTTCAGCAGCGGAATGGACTATCCTGGAAGGCGGTGGAGTCTCCCTCACCGGTCGTTTTTAAATAGAGGTTGGATAGCCATCTCTCAGGGATTACTGACCTCTGATTTCCGAATTGCAGGGGGTTGAACTAGATGATCCTTGGGATGCCTTCCAACTCTACAATTCTATGAGCCCAACAAGATCTGGAGGCCCACAGGTCTCCATCCCTGGTCTACCATGACTGCCAGTGGCACTCTAAGGTCATTCCTTATCCCTGTCATCTTCTGGAGATAAGACCTAGGACGCTGTTGTTGTTTAGTCGTTTATTCGTGTCCGACTTTTCCAGGGAGTCTTCTCTTTCTCATGAGGTGGCCAAAGTACTGGAGCCTCAGCTTCACGATCTGTCCTTCCAGTGAGCACTCAGGGCTGATTTCCTTAAGAATGGAGAGGTTTGATCTTCTTGCAGTCCATGGGACTCTCAAGAGTCTCCTCCAGCACCAGAATTCAAAAGCATCACTTCTTCGGCAATCAGCCTTCTTTATGGTCCAGCTCTAACTTCCATACATCACTACTGGGAAAAGCATAGCTTTAACTATACGGACCTTTGTTGGCAAGGTGATGTCTCTGCTTTTTAAGATGCTGTCTAGGTTTTCATTGCACCTAGGACATTATCAGATTTTTTTTTTAACCTAGGATCTTTTTTTTAAACCTAGGACGTTATCAGATATTTTTTTTATTATAACCTAGCTCTCACTTCCATACATCACTACTGGGAAAACCATAGCTTTTACTATACGGACCTTTGTTGGCTGTTAATTTATAGCTTTTGCAAAATCTGATTAAGAATCGTTGAAAAGTTTGTGACAAAAGTAGCCTTGTTAGGGAAGTTGCTCGCTTGTGTCTGTGCAAAGGCTGTGACCATCAGGAAGACCATGAGCCACTCAAAACACACGAAAAGGATCACTCTGAAATGACTGCCATCCCCAGCGAATGCCCCCTCCGATCCTGAGCCAAGGGAAACAAGCTTCTGCAACATAACTCTGGGGAATAAATACTTGTTAGGCTACTGATAAACAATAGAAACCAGTTGCACTAATTGAGGGACACATCTAATGCTGGAGAAAACCTTGCTGTATGAACACTGCTGTATTCCTTGGGCAACTAATTTGCTCCCCAGAGTTTGCTTATAGAAGCAGTGCACAAAAACAGAAAGATTCACCGGAGAAAATACATCTTCCATTTTCTTCCCTCAGCCTCTCCTCATTTTTAACTCAAGGAAATTGTATTGGGCAGGGGAAGAGAACATGGCCGGAAGCTCTTTTACTTGACCTCAACCGCAGGCAAAAGTTGATTCTTCACCTTTTCCTCCTGCAACCCTGTAGGTGGAAATTTCCTCTCATTATTGCTCATCCTTCCCTCTCTGCAGCCCCTTCCTTGGAATTTGTTGCTAGTGTTTGCACCTGACCTGTGGCTCTGATGCCAACAAGTTAACACACTTTCTGTTGCAC